GATGTACGAAGTAAGAAGAGAAGGCATTGTTTACTAAATTTCAAATCAAATCCAATGCTATGCTAGGCTACCTAGGTATAGTATGTATGAGGCACTCATCAGAGTGGGGAGACATGCTCAACTTATCGAAGTTATCGCCAGCAAATCGATGACGCAGATGCTCGTGGGGTGCAGGAATTCGGGGTCCAGCAGGATCCGACAACCGGCAGATTTCCTAACTCTGGTATACCAGACCTAACTTTTCTAGGTACCTACCTACGTAACATACCCCTAGTATACATGTACCCATCAACTCATACATGTTAGGCGTATGTAAGAGGTAGATAAGGGGGATTGCTTGAAGTAGGTAGTGATATAGCTCTAAAGCTTCTTGTCACATAAGTATAATATTGAACAGTTGAGTCTTGAACGTTGTTTATTTATATCTGTTAATACATAAACTGGGAGTCGTTAGGTTCGTTCAATTAAAATTGATTGATTTCCAATCCAACGCAATTTGTATAACACGCCCAAACACCAAATAAGTAGCTGGCCAATACCAAAGTACCTAGTTTTCTAGTCACTTTCGACTACCGAAAAATCAGTTACAAATATATTGATACTTTAATGAGTACGATGATTCCCGAGAAAATAGTTGCATATCCTATACTGCAAAAGCATTTTCTGGCGAGGCAAAGAACTTCTTCGACTCGGCACATCGCTCACTCTTGCAACCAGGGCACCTCAGGCCCATCTGGTGTGAGCATGCAACGCCACTGTCCAAGTGACTCTTCGCAAGATTTGCAAGAGCATCAATAAAGATAGGATTACCGTTAAGACTTTCTACTCGTTTAACTGTATCCGCGTGGCCGGACTCTCCTATTACCTCTTTGTCGAGCTCATATAGGGTTTCGATATGATCAGAAGTAAACGCAATGGGGATAAGAACGAGGTCTTTCTGTTCCTTGGCGATATATTCCTCAACCGAGCTCTGGGTTTGAGGACCTAACCACGGTTGAGGACCAACCTGTGACTGCCAACATAATCTGTAAGGGTTGGAGAACTTTAGTCGTTGCATGACGGCGTATACTGTTGCGGCAACTTCGGCGGGGTATGGGTCGCCTGAAAAATTGTTAGTTGAGATGGCTTGAGACTAATGTGTATACTCCCTACCTCGATTAACTACCGTCATTGGTAAGCTGTGAGCTGAGAATAATAGGACGACTCGGCTCCGTCGGTCTTCTGGATATTCTGCCAGCGTTTTCTCAATATTGCTAGCAAATGCCTCTACTAATCCCGGATGTGCCGGCCACCTGTCAATGACACTCCATTGAATCGTACCCGGTCCGGATTTCCCTTCTAATCGTTGCCGCCATTTCCATAGTTCATTGAGACTGCTCCCCGTTGTAGAGCAAGAATATTGAGGATATTGTGTGAACGCTACAGCTCTTCCTCCCTTGCCGTTTCCGAAGCCATCCGCCAGCAATTTATTATACATTTCTTCGGTCAAAGGGTCTGCGTAGCGAAATGCGACGTAGGGTTTGTGTGGCGCTGTCTCAGGCGATATTCGGTCGAGAATCTTACACATATGTTCGCTTTGATATTCCGACCATTTTCGAATTGGGGAACCACCACCAATCTCTGCATATTGCTTCTGGATTTTCGGAGTTCTTCGCTTCGAGATGAGGGGGCCTATATAGTTTTGAAGTCGCCCCAGTGGTATCAGATCGGCGTCTGCCTACTTATATGTTAGGCCTGCACCGAGACGCATGGTACCATACGAAATAAAACGTACAAATAAGCGGCTTAGGAAGTCGCCAACTTCATCTACCGTGGATGGACCACCCATATTTAGAAAAACCATGGCCGTTGGGCCTTTCGATCCTGTCGCATTTTGTGTAACGGGGGGCGCTGGCGTTGCGAATGATCTCGTCTGCAGGGAACTGTTCTTCAATGGCTGAATGTATAATGGTGTAGAGTTAGGAGTAGCAGTACCAGCTGCTCTGCGCGCGAGCTGCGCAATAGAATGGCGTGTTGCCATACTGCGCGAACTCATTACTTTATGACAATTCGACGGCAAAAGGGCATGGAATGTTTCTTGAAATTATTTAAGAAGCATGGGTACCTCTAACAGGACAGGTAGATCTGAATTAGTCTCGAAAAAGTTCACCAATCAATGACGACCTAAATGCTCAGGGCCGGCTCTCCGAAGGACCGGGACCGAGTGTCCGATTAATGTTACTAGTGGTACCTTTGAAGGCCAATGAAACATATTCAATTGCCTAGCAGGGGCTAGACACAGATTACATGACCTACGGTATGTACCTAAGGGTTTACTTGAAATCACCTGATAACGCGATTATTTCATAAGAATCCTCTTTAAATCATACGCGTTTAAGCGCGATGTCTGCCTAAGTTAGGAGATACCTAAGGTTTCATAATCTACTGCTATCAACACATGTCCATATAAAAACAGATAAAATACATTCTCAAATTTCCTGAATCACATGTGACCTTTTCCCCATACCCAACTTAACCGGGGAAGGATTCACCATCCGCCATGGCAGATCACTATGAGAAACGAGAGGAAGAGGAAGAAGAAGATGAGATTGGCGAACAGGTATTTCGTTCATCTAAATATATGGATTCTAGTCCCTCCTATTAATTCTCAATTAGGACTTCAAAGCTCAGAAAGATGCCCTCATTTTCGCCATCGATGTGAGCAACTCAATGTTACGGCCACCTCCTGAGTCAGATGACAAGAAGGCAGACAAAGATCCTCCTGTGTTTGCTGCGCTGAAGTGCGCATATCAGGTGATACAGCAACGAATTATATCTAACCCGAAAGATATGATGGGGATTATTCTCTTCGGCACCGAAAAGAAGAAGTACCGAGATGAGGAGAACCCTCCTTATCCGCACTGCTATGTCTATACCGACCTCGATGTTCCCGCGGCTGAAGATGTGAAGAATCTCAAAGACCTTATTGAAGGAGGGGAAGATGCCGATGAGATTCTCACACCATCTAGTGAAGGGGTTGTAATGGGAAGATTGCTTTTCTTGGTGAATAATCTCTTCACCACCAAGGCACCTAACTTCGGATCCCGAAGACTGTTCATTATCACAGACAACGATGATCCTCATAAGGAAAGCAAAGAGCTTAGGGAAAATGCAGCATGCCTTGCCAAAGATCTGTACGACTTAGGTGTCACAATAGAACTCTTCGCAATCACTCGCGAGGACGAAAAGTTTGATTTCACCAAGTTCTACGACGTAATTCGCCCATTCAGATCTAGCTATTATTCTCGTTCACTAACCTTGCCTAGGACATTGTTTATCGGGACCCAGTCGTCGAGGAAGCACATCTGGGGAGAGTTTCTACGTCGAAGTCCGGCAGCGGGCAGACTCTTCTGAGCTCGTTAACTTCCAATATCAATTCTAGACAGACTCCAAAGCGAGCATATTTTAGTAATATGCCGCTTGAGCTGGGCCCTGGACTTCAGATCTCGGTTAAAGGGTACAACATCATTCACAAACAGGCTCCCGCACGCAGCTGTTATATTTGGCTAGATGGTGAGAAAGCACAGATTGCCGTTGGCGAAAGTGCCCATATTGCCGAAGATAGCGCCAGAACGGTACAGACGGGCGAAGTCAAGAAAGCATATAAATTTGGTGGTGAATATGTCTATTTCGGCGAAGACGAGCAGAAATCTATCAAACAATTCGGAGGTCCAATAATCCGAATAATTGGCTTCAAAGACAGATCACAGCTAGGATTCTGGGCATCCATAAAAAAATCCATCTTCATATTCCCAAGTGAAGAAGGTTATGTCGGGTCCTCGCGTGTCTTCACTGCATTGTGGCAGAAGCTACTAAAATCTAAGAAGATCGGCATTGCGTGGCATATTGCTCGAACAAATGGAAACCCTCAACTGGTTGCTATTATTCCCTCTACTGCGCAATCAGACCGCAAGTCGGGCATAGATTTCGTACCGGCTGGTTTATGGCTTTATCCGATTCCGTACGCTGACGACCTGCGCGAGGGCCCCGACCAGGCTAATCTCGTCAGAACCACGAACCAGTTGACTGACACGATGAACAAGATTATTGGAAACTTGCAGCTGCCAACTGCCGCCTACAACCCATCAAAATATCCCAATCCCGCACTTCAATGGCATTATAAAATTCTCCAAGCCCTTGCACTGGAAGAAGAGGTACCTGACAAACCAGACGACGCAACCGTCCCCAAGTACAAGGCGATCCACAACCGATGTGGTGCATACATCCAAGAGTGGTCACGGACAGCGGATGACGTTTTGGAAATGGTTAGAGATGCTAAAGCTATCAAGAGGGAGATGGAAATCGATGAGGGGGACGATGAGCCTAGGCCAGCAGCGAAGAAATCGAGAGTAACTGCGACGAAAACGGGTGCTAGTAGTACAGGGATGAATAACGCACAACTAAAGGAAAGATATGAACAAGGTACCTTGTCAAAGCTGACGGTAGCTGAATTGAAACCGATCTTAAGCGACCGAGGGATTGATTCGAAGGGGCTAAAGAAGACCCTCGTCGAGAGACTTGAGGAATGGATTGAAGATAATGTATAAATTAAGGGGTTTGAATTATGAGGTAGCTATCAGCGTTCAAGGCAGCTAGGTGAAGGCCTGACTTCGACTTTGAGGACCTTGGACGATACCACTTCCAGATGAGTAGCGAGATACGCAGTTACCCCTTTCACACTATTAGGAGGCTATCGAGGTAAAATATACACCCGAGAGCATCCCAGCTGCAATTCCCCTTACGTCTACTGAAGAACAACGGTTAGGAGGTACCTACCTTACGTATATGACCAGTCGATGCGATCTTTGGTTAACTGGGTAATTATATATTATATTTCCTATTTTTTATACTCACTTGTCTTAATTTTGCATTTAGCCACACGCAGGTGTCTATCACTAGAAATAGCACTAGAAATAGGGAGTATCCGAGTATAGATGTGTCAGATTAGTCAGCCCTGGCAGGTGACCCGAAATCTCTGATTTCCCTGTAATTACCAGCGTTTCACTCGTTCTCACGATCTCAACAAATTCAACCAGACTATCAGTAATTACATCAATATTGCCTCAATAATCGCCCTAATAGTACGTATCGGCTGTGTGACAAGATGTAATTGTCAGTTAATCCATGCAAAAGATTTATGGTGGAAAGTTGGAAGTTCAAATGTCGGATACCTTAGGTACTTAAACCTTACGTACATACATAATTCTCTGGCGATACTACCTAGGTACATAGCCCCGCGTCCTCATTAAGCATAGGTACTCTAGCAGCTGCCTGGAACCTTAGCCTTTAGGTACCTGCCGCATCCACATGTATGGTTTTAGGACAGGTAGTACCTAGGTACTTCAGCTACGCCTTAGGTAACCAAGTCGCCCCAGAGCCGCGACCTCCAACGCGTTTAGTCAAACTCTCCACCTGCATCTATTTTGGTTTATTTCGCACTATTTACATCGCGCTTAATTCCGCCGGCGGTTTCTGAGAATAGCAGAACGGCCCTCGAGTCATCGGCGGAATGGATGCCCTCTTAGAATCAACCAGAGGTAATCTGGTATGCAACTCTGTTCAAGATGTACAAGACAGACTGCACCGCCTCCTCGCTTCCAGATCGTCGGATACGCGCGCAGAACATGCCTCTTTTACATTCGAGCTTCGACATAATGTGGTCTTTCACTTGAATCCAGATGCCGAAAATAGCCCCGCGGACAGTGTCGTCAACCCTACCGAACAATCGCACCACCAGCCCATTACCCAATCCGTGAATGCCTTCGAAACAGTTCAGAACCAACCCAGCGATGACCCTATTCTCCAGCGCGCTGTCGCAAAGCATATCGTCGGTGCGATGGGAATTGTAGACAATAGTTCATGGACAATACGAAAGGTTTCTCGGGATTCACAAGGCTGGACGTTCACGTACATCTGCAAAGACTCGCTGCAGGCATGGAATCGCGCGAATGCGAAGAACACCGAGAAGCATGTAATTGGCAGTTATAGCGGGCCAGGTAGCTTGGATCCAATTAATGCCAGTAAGTATGGATGTTAAAATCATGCGTGGATAAGCCGCTGACCTCATTATAGCTCGTCCTGCCTTCGATTGTCGCGGAACCCTCACGATTGCCTTTTCGAAATCCGCCAGAGGCGTTATCGTGAAATATGATCACACACCTATACACAAGACTGTCGCGCAGTTGGTAGACCTTATAGCACTCACTCTACCGCCCCCGCCCGTCAACAATGGCGGCACAGGAAGCCAGAGAACGCCAAGGGCCAAGCGACCCCCACCAGCGGAAGGCGAAGAAGGGAGCCGCAAGAAACGTTCAAGGAAGAAAGAAAAGGCTCCAGAAGCACCGATGGGAGGCCCCCCTCCTGGGGATGGCCAAAATAGTCAGAACATCGCCGAATCGCAGGGTGTGATACACGGCGGTGTACATGTTACATCGGTTCCGATTGTCCCCCCCGATGAAGTCAAACGCCGTAGAGAAACGGCGATAGATCTCCTTAACGGAAGGCAAATCGATCCTGCGACACTCTCTGAGGAGCAATTTAACATATTTGCAAATCAGGCACCAAGTCTACAGACAACTTCGTTAGATATGTTAGCTAAGTATGGCGCCGAGAGGTTGAGAATTGTCCATCCAGATGATAAGGATGCCAAATCAACTCCCATAGAAGAACAATCTACCAATACAACCCCTGCTACTGTATCAGGCCAGGCGTCTGCTCCTGGAATAACTGAGACACCCACAAAGAAGAGGCGTTCCCGAAAGAAAAAGTCTGACGGGGCAGTAACTGAGGTTTCTATCGGTGATGGTGCGGTAGTGTCAGTACAACAGAGCGGCGAAATTGGAACGACAACTTCCACTCTGAAGCTGACGACCAAGAAAACACGCGGAAGTTGTGAGACTTGCAGAGACAGGAAGCTCAAGGTAACTTGCCCTTTATTACTAAATAAAAATATAATACTAACATAATCTAGTGCACCAAAGAACATCCCAGTTGTTCTGTCTGTACTACAGCTGAGGTGGAATGCATTTATTTGCCACCGAAACCACGACGGAAAAGAGCGGTAGTTTCTGGTGGTGAAGTAGTTGAAAATGAAGATTCCGACCTACCTGGAGAAAGGGAAGAATTCCAGGCCCAAATGCAATCTGAGGAGGCACCATTGCCAATGCCAACAACACAAATGCCAGTGGAATACCAAGCACCTGCTATTGCCCCGGCGACCCCAGATCCCGATAATGAAGAATTCATCCCAGATCCAAACATCTTGTCGGGACCTGTTGAGCATCCTCCCGCTACCATGCAACCTTCTATACAACCTTCAACAACGCAATACTATCAGAACCATACCAATAGCCTCACATTTTCCCAGAATCCGCAGCCCTCGACTGGGCCGACAGCAATGTCAACTTTAACATTCCCAGAATCTCAAGCCCGTGAGGCCCAATCCGAGTCTCCTAACTTAGTCTTTCCGTCGACATCCCATCAGACTGAGCACTCATCTGGTTCAACCTTTCCGCGACCGGCCCCGGCAACGAGTCAGAAGGCGCAAAACACGCCCATGTCTAACCGACGTAGTCTTCCCACCACCCAAAATAAGCAAACACCGATACCTACACCAGTACCACCGCCAACCATACCGCAGCATGCCCCCAATTGGAATTCCCCCTCCACAACACGGCATGCTACTACAGCGTCGCCGACATTGACCCAGCAGCAAACATCCAGGCGGTCAAGGTCACGTAAGTCTGACGTGGAAGTTAGACAGCAGGCAAATGACAGTATGAGGCAACCGCTGGCCGTATCGCAGGTCGCAGCGCAAAATCAGAGGCAACCGTCGCCTGCAACGGGATCACCATACCAGACTGCAACTCGCGCAAACTCTCGACAAGACCATAGGTCACAGACTAATACACCCGTTGTATCCACATCTCGCCCTCCTCCGCAGGCCCCGCAAGCTGCTGTCAGTGCATCCTACAATACGACTGCATCAGCCTCGATTCCAAGCTATGACCCCTATCCACGTTACGATAGCACAACTAATGGTCAATATAATAATGCAAACAACGACCAGGGTTCGACTCGCATTGCGTACGAACCTGGCTCGTACCAGGCTCATACAGCTGCTATAACGTCGGCGTCCTATTCCTCAGCGCCGGCATATGATTATCCTCGGACTACAAGTTCATCGAATCCTCTCTCTCAAGCCCTCAACTCGTCGTCCGGATACAACAATACTAGCAGCAGTGCTGCAACTCCTCAATGGCCCACCTCGCAAGCTCGAGGTAGCCAGGCGCACGCCCAACCACAAGCAAATAATACTTACCCTATGGCATCAGCTACTACATCTACCTCTAATAGCTATGGCACAAGTTCTGCGGAGTCACGGACCTCCCATCAGAATACCCCTTACACCCAATCCCAGCCTCAATCATATAATTCGTATTCAGCACAGCAGCCGAGCACGAATCAGCAACCCCAGCAAAGCTGGTACGGCTTTAGCGCCAACAATAATAGTAGTGCCGGTGCAAACCAAAACTCTTACAGTAGTAACCGAAACAGCGGCTACGGCGGTACCGCAAGCTCAAATCAGACCGCATATAGCAACCACAGACCTAGCGCGTCCAACTACCCTGGGCACAGCTACGGGTCTGGGTCGGACGATCAGAGCATATATGAGTTGCTAAGGGCCAACGGCTCTACACATTAGGACATACCTAGGTATATTACCCTCGACGGCGGTTTCCTTGTCCATTTGAGTATGTTATTATAGAACAGCGGCGATTTCAGCCGAAGGATTTATACTTTGCACAGATGAAGGAATACGTTTATATCCAAAGACAGGAAAAGGGTGCTATGATATATTGGTTACGGCATTGGGCCGAGATATTAGCATAACAATGCTAATGGGCCACATGGCGCGTTGTGATGCGCTATAGCTTTTATGCGGATAGCTGTTCTAGCTACATTAACGATACCACTATGCGCTGTGTTTTAGAGATACTTATTGTCCATCTTAGTATCCACGCTCGTCGCAGTGTTGAATAAGCTTCTAAGGAGTGGGATGTCCTCGTACCGAAATTCATAGACCGTTGCGTATAACATACATTTGTCAAGTAGATGTCTTCCTCTCAATTATTGTGACTGCCTATAAACCCTAGGAGAAAATGGGAGTATACACATACCATAACGTATCGAATTATAGTAATAAGTAGGTAGGTTTAGGTATGTACGTATAAACACAAGCTTTGTCTATGTATCTAGCTATCTACAGCACATGATCTAAGGTAAGCTAAGTTAAAAACTGCGCCAGGTATCGCTCGCTCTCTCTCTCTGTCTCTATCTTCGCTCATGCACAAGCCGTCCGCGCACCCAGACTTTCTTCACGTTCCGGTCGTCGCCGTTGAACACCCACTTCGCGACGCGGTCCTCCCATCGCTCCCAGCCGAAGATATCCACGTTTCCGGTATCTTGGTCTTGGCCTTGCTCATCTCGTTTTAATTCTATGCTGTCGTCTTCTTCGGGAACGAGTCCGAGTCCGATTAGCTGTGCGTCCCATTCCTTGCCTACTTCGAACCCTCCGATCTTGCCTCCCAACCCGACGACTTCGGCGCCGCCCCGCGTAGCTAGATGTAGTACTTCCTCGACACTTAACCGGACGAGCTCACGGCCGTCTTCAGGAGTCGTGTCAGCTTCGGCGTCGGCGTCTATCTGCTTCTTCCCGGCTCGCGGCGGCATAGCGAGATGATTCGACACGAGAGCGGCCTGGCGCGCGGCATCGAGTACGCTGGGACTATATCCGCCGCTAACATCGGTGCCGAGGCCCACGCCAACCCCCTTATCCAGCAGCCAGCGCACGCGCGCCACGCCGCTCGTCAGCGCCGAGTTGCTGCACGGGCAATGGGAGACCTTGGACCCGCGGCGCGCGACGAGGTCGGCCTCCTCCTCGCTTAAGTGAATCGCATGCGCGAGGATTGTGCGCTTGCCTAGCAACCCGAAGCGGTCGTACACGTCGGCGTAGTTCTTGCTGTCGGGGAACATGTCCCGCACGAGCTTCAGCTCGTCGACGTTCTCCGCAATGTGCGTCTGGATCGGGAGGTTGGTTTCCCGGTGTAATGCGCCGAGCTGGGTCATGGCGTCTACGCTACATGCGGGCGCGAAGCGGGGCGTTAGGATCGGGCTTATGAGATCGAAATCTGTATCGATGCTCCGGATGTGGTCGATAGTGGCACGTGTCGCGGCTAGGGACTGTGACGGCGATTCGTCGAGGTAGTAGTCTGGGCCGAGGTTGTCCATGCACACGCGGCCGACGAAGGCGCGCTGGCCTAGGGAGAGACATAGGTCCGCGAGGAGGTTTGTAGACGGCACGTGGATTGTGGCGTAGTAGGCTGCGGTGGTGGTGCCGTGGGCTAGGGTTCGCTGGATACAGCGTGTGTATACTCTGCGAGCTTTGGGGAGCGAGGAGAGGGATGCTTCCATGGGAAAAGTGTAGGTGTTTAACCAGTCTAGGAGCGTAGACTTGCCGAATATGCCTACGTTGGGATACTGTGGCGCGTGAATATGTGTATCTGTCACTGGTAAGTAAAGGGATAACTTCAAAAAAGGGGTGAAGGGTATTCTTACCAATGAACCCCGGAAAGAAGAACTGTCCATCTTTTGCTGTTGTGACGGTGACGTCGTCTGCTTTCCAGCCTAGCTTGGGGTATAGAGTGTCCTCGGCTTTTTTCTGATCGTACTGCTGCTCAACAGCAACGATCTTGCCGGACTTGTCCACGCAGACTGCGGTGTCATGCAGATATTGGAGCTCGCCGAGCTTGACACTATGTATGAACAAGCCCAGAAATAACTGGTTCTTCTCGTTCCCTGGGGGAGCCATGGTGATTTGCCCTCTTTTCCTTGATATAACCCAAACGCAGGTGCCTGGTCTTATTTCCAAACCCCAAAATAAACCCTTGCTGATTCTTCAAATTTCCCGTTGTAATCAGGACAGGAGCAGTGCGGTGAGATATCATAAGCCCAGTAAGACTATGCCCGCTCAATGGAATTCCATTTAATCCTCCTTCAAGTGTACCAGTTCCAACCTATGCTTAACCCAAACGCGTAGTGAATTATGCACCCAGGATCTCAACATGAATAATGGATAAATTAGGTAGATAGCCAGATGTTGTGACACGATGCAAGTGACGTAACCGAAGTCGACAGGGACGTGTATCGTCGACGGAGAATTTAAAAGGGAGAGGGATAGAAATAGAAAAGATGTTTGTACTTGGTGATAACAAGGAACTTACACTGCCTTAGGTACCTAAGGAGGTACCTACGGTCCTACCTAACCTAACCTAGTTGATTTAGGTAGGTTAGGTAGGTAGGTTAGATAATTACACTAGATAAGGCAGTCTTCTAGATTAGGCGAGATCCCACTTGGTGGTTCCTGCATCAAACCAAGGACCGGAACTTACCAGAGTTTTACTAAGGTACCGACTTAAAGGATAACATGTGTACAGCGTTATGGCAGTACATATGGTGACGTCCGATGGAAGTCGGTCAACGCCGGCACCCGGGGGCCGCATTCCTATTGGTCCTATTAGTCCTATTAGTGCCTGTCCTTGGAGCTATGTACGAGTCCCCCCAGCACCAGTCCCCCATAACCCCACCGAGAATTAAGCTATCGATCGCTGTCCTCTACCTTTCAAGTCATGTCTTAGTTCAGCCTGCGACAACATATTTTAGACAAGATAAGATAGATGATTATATTGCATCCAAGTCCGCTATTAGGTAAGGGGATACCATCTTACTTTATACGTTAGTTACATTAACTTAGGTACCTATACATACCTACCTAAATGTATTAAAGATGACTTGCGTAATCAACTCCAAATAATTACTTTACTATAACTCATTTTCTTCAAGTTCCATTTCCCACCAATCATTTAGTTTCCCCTTTCTCTCTTCGAGAAAATAGCTGAGAGCAGAAGTCAACAATTTCGTACCTAGCTCGCCTTTATGTCTTGCATGGCGTTGCACCGGTGGTGGTACTTCAAGGGTTTTTGGTATGACTAGTAGAACAACAGGCGATGACGTCTAATAGCTTAATTCAAACGACATCCGCAGTTTACATTATTAGGTACATCTTCGCTTAGAGATTCACCGTTACTCGGGTACAAATAACACAATCATCGGCCCATCGGAATGTCTTACTCGAGATCGTCTAGAGGAGGGAGAGTACCTAATTAAATGGCTATAGTCTACTACGCTCACCACTATCACAAGACAAGACTCAAATACATAGCATCGTACAGACAAGTTCCAGCATTCGTAAGGCCCGCCGTCGCATACCAAAGCGGTGCGACAGGAAATAATACGGTATCCCGTATCCTGATTGGCCCGCGCAGGTACCGGGGACACGACGTAGACAAAAACTACCGAGGATCCGGCTAACTACGCCTATTAAATCCGACATATTATTAGCAACAAAAGTAAAATAATGAGCGAGAGAGAGGGGCAAGATAGAAACTCCCCGGGCCGGCAACACCAAATGTCGTGAAACGGAATCCCCCTCTCTAAAAGAAAAATAAAAGAAAAGAAAAGAAAAGAAGAAAAAGCCCGAAGCCGATCCTCGCTCTCGTCATCCGAAAGCTCCATTCATTACGTTGTCGTCAACGCGTTCGTTTCCTCAATCTTGTCTTACATACGCAACCTCCCGATATCTACTCTCGCCCACCCGGCCGGCCTTGGCTAAGAGAGGGGGACCTGATCGATATACCAAACTGTCGTGATAACTATAACAGCAGACTGCAAACAGCCAGCGTTGTAACCCCTAACCCTGATCCTGTGTAACAACTCCGGTTTCCCATCTTACCTAGCAGATCTATAACCTCTTTATCCCTCTCCTCTTATATATTCCCCACCACTCCACCACCACCACCATGCCCCTCCACATAGCCAGCCTGGGCTCCTCCTTCGCCGCCGGCCCTAGCATCCCGCCATGCGTAGACGAGGCAGCCGGGCGCTCCGGGGCAAACTTCGCGTGCCTGGTAGCTAAGCGCGCCGGCGCCCAGCTCACGGACCTAGCAGTCTCCGGCGCCGTCCTGCCTAACATAACAACGGAGCCCCAGGATCGCGGCGGCTGCCTGTTCCCGCCGCAGATTGACGGGTTACCGGCCGACGCGGACGTGGTGTTCGTGCTCGGCGGCGGCAACGACATCGGGTACATCGGGGGACTATTCGAGGACACGCTAAGCGCATCCTGGCTGGGCACTTTTGTCAAGCGCGTGCGCGGGACGGGCGGCGCGCCTCTCGCCACTACCGTTCTTGACGTTGCGGGGCTAGCCGCTAGGTATGGGGGCGTCCTGGATGCGATCCACGAGAAGGCGCCCAAGGCCAAGGTCCTAGTCGTCGAGTACCTAACGATGCTAGGGACGCACACGCGAGCAGGCACAGACGTGCCGTTCGGTGAGGAGAGAGTCGCGCACCACCGCGCCGTGTGCGAGCGGCTCCTAGAAGCGACGGCCAAGGCGGTCGAAGGCCGCGAGGCCTGGGCCGAGGTGGTTCCCGTGGGCGCGGCGAGCGAGGACCATGCTATCGGGGCGCCGGAGCCCTGGGTCTCGGGGTTCACGTGGAAGCTGTTCTACGCGGGCGGCGCGTACCATCCGCGGGCCGAGGGCATGAAGGCTGTTGCCGATATACTGTATAAGAAGCTAGTCGACCTGGGAATAGTGGAAGACGGCGAGCTATGAAGGCGCGGTGGTGAGAAGGGTTGGAAATAAATTTGACCGGATCAGTTCGGATAGATTTTAAGAACTTGGACGCGACGGAACGAAACGAAATGAAACGATTCTGCTCCCGTGGATGAACGTTGGCTTCTAGAAGACTGCTATGCTATGCTATCTTGTGTAGGATAGAAGAGTCTTGGGGTTTTCACATAGCCTACCGGTACCTTAGGTAGTTGGCGTTTACTAGGTCTAGACTTAAGAAGGTGAAACTGAGTATTTCATCCAACGTTTATTCTTAGCCGAGTTGGATCTCGAATACATGGAAGGGTTTATGTACGGAGTATTCCTAGATGCAGAGTACTCGTTCTACCACACTACCTGCCTACGGAATGTATGAAGCCTACATATATAAAGGAATGGGTTTATGCTGGTCCTATCCTATATAGGCTCTATAATAAGGACTGTAACCTTAGATTATATTATGGAAGCGTTTAAATAGTTCCTTAGGCAACCACTCTGCCATCCCTTATCAGATGCTGCAAACCCAACACGGCCGTGGTCAAGCGGTTATTTGAAGTAGGGTTAGAAATAATTCCTCGAGGAGTTTTTCGTAGGGCGTAGGTTCGAATCACTGTCAGGGCGGCAGTTAGGCCAACTGTTCAGGTCAATCGATAGTGGTTCGAATTCTGGGTTCCGAGCTTTTTTGTTCCCCTTTACCTCTTATATTTTTTCTTACTCCTACTCCCATTTTTAGACGAAGAAAGGAGATTTTTAAATTGAATAGAAAACATGAAGTATCTTAGGCACTTAACCTAACGTATAACATACGCATTTACGTTAGGATATAGTTTGTAGCAACTATCTAACCGAAAGGCAATTAGGCTAGGTACTTCTCATTATTTTAAGCTATATGATTATTACACTCTCGAGTATATCTGAGAACATTAAGACAGAAATGTTGTTACTTTTAATTTATAAGCTCATATCAGGGAAATATTTGATCACACTACTTAAAGTTATGGTTTAAACAAAGATTGACTAGTATAAGGGGACTGCATGAGGTTCTAAATAAGTGAAGCTCGACGTGTCGTGTATCATCATATATAAATTCGGGAGTGATAATAGGAGTAGGGGGAAGTTAAAAGATATATCTGTTTAAGCGAATATACATATAAACATAATATAATATTACCAACACTTGTCGATCAGGCAGTGGTTTATGTTGGTTGTAACAAACCGACTTGTTTTCTTGCTGCCTACTCAATCATCCACAAATTCATATTGATAGCGACTATGGAAATTGAGCGCGATTGTATCATAAGCGCCGAGAGCTATGAGAAGTTCGGGCTCAACCACCGACGCCATGACACCAATCAAAGAGTCCAAAATTTCATTGATCGTGGTCTTATGAGCAAAGGTATGTAGGGCATACACCGTTGCGCTGAGATCTACATCAACTCTAACTCACCTTAGATGCTGTGTATCGGAGATTTACCGAGGACCTTAAGTACAGTATAGGTATGAGAGAAGATGAACCTTTAAGAGAGAACATAAGACAAGCATTCTGCCAACTATGTGACCCGGACACAGGATGTAGGTAGGCATACATTCGAAGGATACTCAATCGCTGGGGCTGACAATTAACCCTCGTGTAGATCTCTCACAGAACAAGTTCAAGCACTTGTTTGAGAAAATATTACCCACCGCATCTCCAGGCGTTCCGGCACTACTACTTGATATCTTTAGCTGGCATGCGTTCTTCCCCTTCCCATCGATATATACCGCCTCGGGAGAGCCCTGTATAGATGAAGATGCTTTCGTTCGCGCTGTCTGTCAGTTGGCGTGGACTCGTTCGCCGCGCCATAATCTGCGCATGGAGGCGGGCGCCGGGCACTGTGTTATCACAGGAAATTGGGGACCACATTTCAGCTGGCTCATTTTAGCCCGTGGTAAAGATATCAGCGATTATATGAGATGGCTATTCCGGAGTCTTGCTATTCCAAACAATACAAAAACAGGCATTGAAACAACAATTCTGGTCCCTCGGTTCTTCATGTACCAACCGCGGCAGGACGAGCCGTATTCTGGAGATGATTCTGAAGACGATGCTCTGCAGCAACAAGTCGTTATCGTCGAGAAAGAGAGTGAGCGAACGATAGACATCCAAGATATTCTCTCGGAGTATCCCCCAGATCACCATACCATGGTAGCGGACCCGTTACGAGAAGGCTACAAGCTTGCCTTACCGTTTCTTCCACATCATCCATACGATCTGACTGACCTTCACGTCCCAACCATAAAGGTTCTGAGTCTCTTTCCCTTGCTTTATGCAGGGGATGGCTCAGACGAGCAAAGGGAACTAGCCCCAGAAGAAGAAGATGGGTCAGACATCGTAGCTGACTTAATAACCTCGACCGAGCGACTAGGTAATGAAGGACTCAGCTGGGAAGTGTTCGACACTATGTTGAGTGAGCATGCGGTAAGCTATTAGCTATCCCTTTTCTGTATCCGAGTGATGCTTTGCTAATTTTTTTCCAATAGGAGCTTGTCGCAGATACTCTAGCGCGAATATTCTCAGTCTTCAAAGCTCCAATAGATGGAACTGCATTGTGATATTACGAGCTTGAATAGATATGGGGAGTTCAGTACCTTAGGTAGGTAAGGTTAGATAGGAGTTATTGACGGTTAGTTACCTGTTCCATAATACCAATATTTCGATATCGATATAACGGGGTATCTTACAAAATTGCGTGAGACTTACCCCACCAATAATGCTGCATTAGTGCATGTATCTAGGTACGTGCCACATAGTATGTATATATTAATTACCTAAGCCCCACTAAACGCGTATTAGGACGCGTTCGCGCGTCTTCAATTTACATTCACATTTACATTTATACTTACCCTGTACAACTGTACAAGGGCCAATTTTAGTACGGTACGCCGAAGCAACAAGACACATTGGTGACCTCGAAGCTATTAATTCTAGAGAACTCAATTGGGCTGTCAAAGATGATATCTGCTTCGTCTCCCGTTATATATCCAGCCAGCTCCTCCCCGGTGGCAGCGGCAAAGCGCACGAAACCACATCCTGACCCGAACCCTCGATCCCGTGCGAAAAGTGGCTTCCTCGTTGACGATGACTCCGACGATGAAGATATGCTGCAAGAGCCAGCAACTAAGAGACGGATGCTTAGCAGTCCTAGTGACCAAGCAGCTGTAGAGTACACCGAGCCGTCTTCACCTCCCTCAACAATTCCCAATCTTAACCTTAAGAAAGTTGGGTCGGTACCTCTCGACACCGTTTCACAGCCGAACGAAGATCTCAATAGGAGCCAGCCCTCTATAACCAGCACGTTGTTCCAATCGAGCAATGTATCCTCCATCTTTGACCGATTTACCTCTCGTCAAGCGCAAAGCACATTTAAGATTACTACCTGTTCAGGTAATATAGTCAACGTCAAGCAGCGGAAGGCTGGTGCTGGTGTGTCTTATGAAAGGATAGTTGCTGCGCGGTCGAAAACGAAAGAGGGTCGAGCAAAGAAGAGTTACTATGGCATCGAGATCCACGAGATAATAGAGGCTACTTCCAAGGAACTCACCAACAGAACCTCGGGTTCTAATGCAGTACCGAATCAGCCAATGACTTCCGTGGAAGCTATCAAGAAACCGAAGAAGGCACTCTTATGGACTGAAAAATACCGAGCGAGGAACTTTACAGACTTAGTGGGCGATGACCTTACGAACCGGCAAGTCTTACGCTGGCTAAAAAGATGGGATCCGATAGTTTTCCCGGGAACAGCAAAGTCGAGGTCTGCTACGAGACGACTGGGCGCAAAAGCGGGAGCCGAAGAAGAAAAGCCGCACCGGAAAATTTTGATGCTCACTGGCCCTCCTGGACTGGGGAAAACCACGCTCGCTCATGTTTGCGCGAAGCAGGCGGGTTACGAAGTAATGGAGATAAATGCTAGTGATGACCGTAGTCGGGATGTCGTTAAAACCCGGATTCGCACCAGTTTAGGGACGGAAAACGTCAAAACTGTGCAGCAAAGCAAGCTCCAGGATGGGAAACAACAGAAAGTTGCACGTCCCGTGTGCGTAGTTGTTGACGAAGTTGATGGTGTCGTGACCGGCTCTGGTGGTTCTGGAGAAGGTGGATTTATTAAAGCCCTTATGGACCTGATTACTATGGGAGAGAGAAACGCATCCGGGCAAGATAACACTGCTCAACAGTCAGGGCGTCGTAAAAAGAAAGGTGATGATTTCCGCCAAATGCGGCCTCTTATTCTAATCTGCAATGATATTTATCATCCGTCACTCAGGCCTCTGCGACAGTCAAATCTAGCTGAAGTTATCCACGTCGGCAAACCTACTATTGACGCAGTTGTGACTCGCCTCAAGACAGTGTTCGAGAAAGAGGGTATTCCATGCGAAAAGGACGCTGCGCGAAAGCTATGTGAGGCAGCATGGGGCATGAGCAATGGTATGGACGCAAAGAAGGGCGCAGAGAGCACAGCTGAGGGAGATCTACGAGGTATTATGGTCGTGGGCGAATGGGTTGCAGGTCGTGTCAGGTCTGCATCTCTCAAAGGTCCACTGAGTTTAACACGACAATGGGTTGAACGGAATATTGTCCATGATCTGTCCCATGGCGGTGGTGGTGCGAGAGGCGTAGGGCGTGGTAACGTAAGGGATATCGTCACGCGCATCTTTCAAGATGGCGCTGGGTTTCCAAAGAACAATGTACTCATCACGGCTCCCGTCTTGAAACACCAAAGCGAGCAGCCACAAGCACAGCTGGGATTCTCGGAGCAGCAGAAAAAGTACGGAATGGAGCGCCTGAGAGAGATGGTCGAGACCAGCGGCGATGTGGACAGAGTAATAACAGAGGTCTTCCTAGACTATCCGAACCATGAGTTCAATGACGACTCATTCCTGTCTAAGCCGGACTGCGCTTACGAGTGGATGCATTTCCACGACGCATGTTCGTCGAGGTTGTTCGGAAGCCAAGACTGGGAGTTGGCTCCTTATCTCAGCCAACCTATTCTCGCATGCCACCATTTATTCGCATCGCCTATCCGGCGCGCCAATCTGGCTTACAACCAGAAGTGGGGTGGAGGTAATACCGAGGATGACGCTCCGCCTTTGCCTTTCTCAGGTCCGAGAGCAGACTTCGTCGCTCGCGAGACCGGGAAGGAGAACCGCGCGATACTCCAAGCAATGCAGGCTCAGCTACCGCCGACGCTCATGCGTTCTTTCCGCAGTGCTGAAGATATCGCTACAGATTTCCTTCCATATCTCATCCGCCTAGTGTCTCCGGATGTGAAACCTGTTGTCGTTGGGGGTAGTGGGGATCAACGGAGCACGGCGAGTGTCCGGAAGGACACAGAGAAGGCCATGGTAAAGCGAGCCGCTGATGTGCTAGCTGAAGTCGGCATCGAGCTTCAAAAGGGAAAGATAGAGAGCGAGTCCCCCTTCAGTAGAGGTCCGGAATGGGTTTACCGCATGGAACCGTAAGTACAACATTCTTCACAACGCCAAGTTCCCGGAACCCGGGATTTATTACTGACAAATCTACAGTGACCTCGATGCCCTCGCCACTTTCGAAACATCTGCAGCCGTCATCCACGGTACACAAGCCCCGACACGCTACGCCGTGCGGCAGGTGCTAGACCAGGAATTACAGAAAGCTAAACTGCAGCGGGAGAAGTTGGCCCGACAGGCACGCTTCCGAGGCGGCGACCTGCATGGCGCGGCACCTGAGGACACCTCCTTTATATTCAACGACAACAAGGAGAACAAGACCTCAAAAGTGCCGGGTTTACCTATACTCGGCGTGAAGAAGGACTTCTTCGGACGCGTCATCGAGAACACAGATACTCGCGCTCTGAGGGAGACTGATGCCAACGGTAGGCCTAGAAGCAAGGCCGGCGGAGAAGGGCAAGAAAAGGGCGAGGCTAAGATCTGGGTTACGTTTCACGAAGGCTTGAATAATGCCGTGAGGAAGCCCCTATCGTTAGATGAGCTGCTTAGGGGTTTATAATAGATACCTCATAATAGTGGTTGACGTGTAAATGACTTGGGGTCCTAGGGCATGGCATTGGCTAGGGGCATGCGTATGGTGTTCAGGTTATAATGGCATTTTCATTGTTAAATGAAACCTAGCGCTTGTTTTTAATGATTCACCCTTGATTGGTCTTGGTTTCAACAGGTTCGCTGTATTTCCGGTGGTGAGAAATAGGGCTCGCATGGCTAGTAAATCGCGGATCGCATACTACCTATGATATAGTCCGTTCATCCATGAATCGTTTACTTGATATAGACATTCATAGCTCATCAATTATACACCATATTAGAGTAAGATGCGCCTACGCTCAGACTACGGAACCCTCCGCCAGCGCAGTTATTGTATAGGCTCCCCTTCGGCCTCTCCCATCTGTTCCAACACACTCCGAAACACCTTCGCCTCAGCCTCCATCTCCTCCGCCGTCCGCGGACGTCGCTCCGAATCTTCGATACTGGGGAAGCTACCGCCGGGTTCAGGTCGCTTACCCAGCCGCTGCTGGAGCTTCTTTAGTTCCCGATCCCATCTTCGGTTATCATTAGTATATATATACACTTCCTTTCGGTTTCTCGCTTTTAGGCCACAGGATCTCTTCTCTCCTATTTTCGAGGAGTAGAGGACTTCGCGTAAAATAGAATGAGGGGAGTAGCGACAGAGAACAAACTTACAACGCTCCGCCGACATTCCCGTCCTCCGCCGCCATCAACTCGTAGATCTGGTCGCCGGGGCCAGCTTCTTCCTTGGCCGTGGATCCGCGGATGCGCGGGATGACGTGGACGTGGACGTGCGAGACGGTCTGCCCCGCGTCGGCGCCGTCCTGGATCGCGATGTTGAAGGACCCGGCCTCGGGGGTGCCGGCGACGTCGTTGCTTTGCTGCGAGGAAGATGTGAAGTAGTGCCGTGCTAGCATGCGCTGCACTCGCTGCACGGCTTGGAAGAGGTCGGTTAGCTCGGGCGCGGTGAGCTCTGTGAACCGCTTGTGCGGTTGTCGCGGGCAGATCAGCACGTGTCCGGGTAATAGAGGCTTGAGGTTGACGAGGGCGAAGGAGTGCGGTGTTGTGAGGAAGACCTGGGCGTGGTTAGTTTGTTTGTTTGGTAGAGAGGCTATGGTAGATGATGATATTCATATATCTATCAAGATTCATCTCATTCTTATTTTTTTCTCTCATTCTTGACTTGGGCTATCTACATAGGTATTCAAGCTAGAGCCACAATAGCGGCGCAGCTTTATATAAGTTGACTTACCTGAGGCGTGACCTCAAACGGGCCAAAGTAAATCGGCCCAGTCGACTGAGAACTCATGTTTCGTTTGTGAGCGATGTTTCTGAATATGAGATTGACTATCGAGATGCGATTTCGTTGCATGGCCTGAGTAATTGTAGAGTGTGTGCTATTGCTTAGCAGCCATGTTATATATAAAGCGTGTAGACTGCCCTGCGGTTAAACAAGGAACGCTTTATATTCTAATGTCGTCTTGGCTTAAGTCTTACTACCTATGATGAGGCGCAAAGCTGCTGACTTAGAAAATGGTAATCAAAGGTTTGCAAACTGACCAGAATCGAGTGATGCTAAACGTGATGTTCGATTGAATATAGCTCGGATAAATGCATGATACTCGTTAAACAATCGATTATGTCATTCTTACTGATTGGTTGAATGCTCTTACTATATCTTAGGTAATATTGATACTTGGGTACCTACCTATATTTTAATCGCACCTAGACACAGGTATATAGGTAGGTACCTAAGTGTACACACGTGTAATTTGTGGCAGAGCATTTCT